CAAAATCCAAATCGGAATGGCCATTCAGCTTCCCTGGGATCACGTTGCGCTTCAGCAGAAGGCCAGCCATTCCTCTCAGGGACCTCCTCTCAGGATTGTGCGGATTTTTTGAAGGAATCGCCCACGGAAAAGCATAATTCTGTCTCATCCATAAATCATTATGGTTCACGATAAGACGAAAAAATAAAAATGATGCGTTTGTCAAGGTAAACAATTCGAAAACCGGATGGACTGTTACGCTTTCAACTCTCGCCGTACATCTGTCACAAATGTTGACGACGGGAACGATTTCACTTGTTTCTGAGAATGCTTCCACTTGGAACTCTTTTTTCTTTTTCTACCTATGGCAACAGCATTTCTCTTTCTCTACTGCATCCTATTCTTTCGATCTCCAAATTCGAACGCTTTAACCCGACTCTTTCAATGCGTCGCCTGATACGTGGCCGCTCCAAGGCGCACTTCTTTCCATGCGTTCCCTTGTCTCCGCCCGACCTACCCGCGACCGTCCAGAGTGTGGTTTTCGTAGTTTGTTTCTCTTCGGAAACTGAATCTTCTTGCGTGAAACTTTGTACGTTGTCTCTAGTGATCACAACTGACATATTCATGTTGGAAAGAATGCAAGAATTTCGTGAACAATCCCTTTGATAACATATAAGGATAAATGTGCAGGAAGGACACAATTCAGGATTTCAAAATTTGCATAAGCACCAGCAGCTCAGCCTCACAGACGTGACCTGCACGGCATTCCGTAGGGAGAAGAAATCAAGCACCAGTTGGACAGAACAGTCAACTGATTAGGAATACACACACATACACATGGACTGCGGAATCCCCGATGATGGGAGGGAGCCCTCGAATGCAAAAATCCAGGGCAGAGGTAAGAAAGTAATGATGTAGGGATAGACTAGAAAAGGCGCGAGTCCCCGAGGGGCCGTCATGTCCAAAAAATGTATCACCAACACGCATGGCCATGCATTTAAGTGATTGGTAATCAAGTTGCTTGGTTAGGTTTAACCCATTCGTGACAATGGCATCCACCGGTGCTGCCGTGTTTCAAATGGAAATTTGGAAGTTTTCTTTCCTGAAAAGAATCTTCATACCCTCATTCATCTACGCCAGCCCTGGGCAGGGGAAATCTCCATCCACTCAAATTTTATTGAAGAAAATCTCCCTGACTCTCCTGCTAATGCTTCGACTCTCCTGCTAATGCTAAATTCCCGAATGGGTCAAAGACTGCCCTGCAAGCTTTTGTGCAAACCACGTCACTGATATGCCACCTCGATTTGGAATGAAAGTGGAGGACATTGGAATTCAAAAAAGGGATTGGTCAGCGTTGAATCTTTTATCCTGTTACACTTTGTGGTGTATGACTCTGCGCTCTTTTACATCGTTTCATGGATGATGAAAAAAAAAAAAAAGGATAAATTAGCAGGTTTATGTCATTTGGAGTGCGCTACGTACTTGACTTCCATGCAGTACGTGTTCGTTCTTAAAGGAGGATTTCACGATAAGAACGAAGGTCGAAGAAGGGGAAAATTGCCTAGTGGGGAGACAGGCGGACCTCCTGAGGGTGCGGACGACACGCAATTGGCAGCGAAAGATTTGACCTCGGCGATCTAGCATGGCTCACTCTTGGCGCGGTTGGCGGGGTACGCCCACCGACTATCTATCGCCGCAGTCTATACGCGGCGAGTGATTAGATAGCAGAGAGAGCGTTAGTGTTGAAGAGGGCACAGCGATGAGAGTCGCATCAATGCGAATCAACGGGCAAGGAAGGGGTCCCATTTCTCGGGTTCTGGGCCGTTTCTCATGGTTCTTCCTTCTTTCGTGTACCACTCACCATCCTCAATTTGAAATGGAGTTGCTTTTCCAGTAAATTCTGCCTTTAAACAGATATTGTCACGACTTCGAGAATGACAGCTCATTGTAGAATGAGAAGACTTCCCATTCAACACGAAGTTTCTGTTCTTAGCGGCTCCAATCAAGAGATTGCGGGGTTGAAAGATTTCGTAGCCGGGTCAGTTCACGATCCCTCGAGTGCAGCGTCGCACATCAGCCCGCTTCCTACCGTTGAACCATATCCATATTATAGGGAAGCTTCTCGTTTTTTATTCGTGTTACTATTAACGCGTATGATGATATTGCCACCTCATGGAGGGCTTGCTAGAAGAACCCTTTGTTGAGCTGCGATAAAAAGGGAGAATCTAGCATTAAGTTGCAGCTGATTTCTGACAAAATCTGACAACTCCTGCTTTTTTCCTTAAAAAGTTTGATCAATTTCAGGTCCCTTGTAGTTTCCCGATTCAAGCTTTTTTAAAGGCACGCTCCACGATTAGGCGCGCTCGCCTGTTCCATCCCGGGGGTAGTAGGCAGGCGGACAAGTGTTGTTGTCGCACCCCTTTTGCCGCTTGAAAGTGCGCGACAAAGGCACAAGCAGCTCGTCCGACCTGCAACTCACACCTTCGTCCGCAAGCCCCACCCTCCGCTGTCCGTTGCCACGTGGCGCTGCTTGAAAAGCGCGGGCGCATTTGAGGCAGCGGTCCCACCGCGATCCTGTGTCAATGGCACTGGAGCAACTAGAGTCAGGCTCGCGAAACTCGTCCAACGCGCCTTTTCTCTATCCCAAGGTGGAATGTTGCTGAAATAGGGGAGGTTTCTGTACGGGGCGTAATCTGTGATTTCGTTTGCTTTCCTTCTCTTTTATAGACCACCTCCCACCTCTAGTATCATGACTGAACGCTTTTAGACACCTATTTTATCCCGAATCTTGCCTTTAAAGCCCAATAAAGCCGCTACCCTCTCGCTAAGCAAAGTCGGACACACCACAACAAATACTGTGTATCTCTCGCACTTGTCCCAGTCTCTGTCGACAGTCTGCTGTGCACAAAAGAGGTAACAATAGAGGATCGCCCTCGCTGCAGTCGTTTCGTAGTTCTGCAACTCCTAATCTTAAGAGCACTTGAAAGAAGTCGATCATAGTCCCCGTAGAAGTATAACAACTATAGCCAGAGAGTCGGGCGATTTCTAAAATAGTCACTCGAAGAAATCTAGATAAGCGCTTATCTATGTCTATTAGCTGCAAAAGAGGCCATGGAATGGTACACTTATGCGACACCCCCTAGAAGCAAGCCACCCTTAAAAGCAGAGCTGGAATTTTAACTCTTGAATCACAATTGAAGGGTCAATATAGTGCGCAGGAAACTCGGAATCTGAAAATAGTTGTTTGAAGCGCGATTGTAAGTCAAGACTAAAACATGAACTTCCTACAGGAATTTGTCGAACGCTGGTAAAGACAGTTTTGCAAGAATACTGGGTTACGAACAAAATCTTCGTCCCAGCGGACTCGTACCTTCACCTCTTGCTTAGCGGGCAAGTGCGCTACAAGTTACGCTACCCCGGCACCGTTTTGCCCTAACTCGGCTTTCAGCCCAGCTGCTAAAGGCAATTTCTTCTGCTTTGCAACTTCAGCAACCTCTATACCCTGGCACTATGGGATCCAGTGACCACGCCTAGCTCTTTTCGAACCTGTTCACTTCAGATTCAAAACCTACGTTTATGTCATCATCATATCAGGTCCTAAGACCAGTTAGCGGTGCTTTTCATCCCACAGCGACCTACATTCGACTGGTTTCAGAACGATTACCAAGCAAACAGTCTGGTATTGAATGACAAAAAGGCTTACAAAAAGATCAATGAAAAAAAGAGCTCCAAAAGAGGCCATGCGTCTTCAACACGAAAGAGATCAGCAACTGGAGAAGAAATTTTAGTGCTTACCGTGACCGTATCTTTGAGCATAATATGTAGCGTAGAGAACAGTCCTGTGAGGGCTGTTTCGTCGTGCGCATGGTCGTAGTAGCGGAAAGCGGCCAGAATCACATATGCCGGGAACGACTTCGTCAAAAGACGCGCCAGACGTGGCTTCAGATCTAAACACACCGAGAGTGAGTCGCACATTTCTCGAAGTTATAACGACAAAGGAAACAAACCGCAAATGAGGATCCGAGTGAATTCTGGCACATTGAAAACCTCAACAAGGGCAGAATGCTCCACGCCCTCTTTAGATAGCGGCTCCAAACGAATCACCTTCAGAATCAGCTGTCGTGTCTGAAGAAGAACAATATTGCGAAAGCTTGTGTGGAACGTTTTAGATGAAGTGAGAAACCTTCGTGTAAGATCGAAGCCGTGTGAAAACGTTCAATGGCTTGAAAAGACAAGACCGTTAGATAGATAAAGGCAGGGCGGTCGACTGTTTGCCCTTTGAGTGGGTGAAGGAGCACTCGAGCGCTGGATGGAATCAAACCGCGAGCCAGAAAAGCAGCCAGTACTAGACAGACCAAGATAGGATCACCACCAAGCAAGCCGGAGATGTAAGTAATTACAGTGTCTACGACTGGAAACTTGCCACCATTACAATCGCAGAGATAACACTGATCGAAGCAATGACAGTCGTCTCTAGAGGGAGCGAAAATCGGGTTTCAAGGTGTGGATGGCATCAGAACGCGAAGCGTCGGCTTTTGCGTCATCGCTGTTAAGGGCTACATTTATTCATCCCCAGTAAGGTAGCCGCAAAGAAACGACGTAAAATTAACATCAATGCAGTGTATACGAAACTGCAAATGTACCGTAGTATGACTGCTATTTGATGCCATGTTTGCTTTATTCAGACAACACCATCAAGTGGCGGAAAGCCACTATTCTTTAAATGGGAAAATTTGGAGAATGAGTAGTTTCTGCAAAAATGCAGGCAAATATGATATAACACAGGGAGGATATTGACCTCCTACTGCTAACGAGGTAAAATTATTGCCGTATATCAAAAATTCTCATTCTATTGAGTAATAGAGGAAACCTTCACGGAAATACTTTTTCTTTCCTCTGAAGTCATAGCTTCCTCTGAAGCGTTCTTGTGAGAGGTTAACAAGCACCGGAAAGCCCGAATAATCAGTTCCAAATAAGGAAGAAAACAGTAAAGTCTGCAGGGGCGCTGTGAAAAATCACAAAGTTTCCAGTTGGAAAAATAAACTCCATGGCAATTTTGTGGGTTGTGGGCATGTGACTTTCAGCGAGTTACTTCGGAAGGTTTATGAAGCAAGTTGTTCGCGGGTTGGGGTAGGACGTCAGTGATCAGTGTGCGAGCTCTCAAAAAAGTAATTATTAAGTTTCACAAACTCGTAAGTGTGAAATTTGTGAAAATGTTTGGTTGTATATGAATCAAATTTCCAATTAATAGGATAAGAGCACGATTAAGGAGCATGTGCCCAATTGATCAGAGCCCTTGATGCGGCACGATTTTACTTCCAAATTGTACATTCGTGTGTGGTGTGTGATAGTGTCGGCGATGCGGCGTTCGTGAGTGAGCTAGTGACTGTGTCTGGCCAGCCGATGGTAGTCGAATAAGTCCGGAGTGTTGTTTTTTATCCTCCCAGACAAGTCTGGTACCAATTAACCGACCCCGGAGAAGGATGGAAGGCTTGGTTGGCCCGGGCGACTCACGACCCAGGATTTGATCCCGGAGCCGCTCGCGTGGTAAGCGTGCCACTTGCCACTACACCACTTTGCCCGTTGTATTTCCAACGTAATAAGTTCGGAAAAAAAAATCACGTTGAGCGGAGATGGTGGCGGATGACAGGAGGGCCGCCGTACCACGCGGATGGTCCGGATTAAATCTCAGCTGAAATCGAGGTTACTGCTCAGGCAAATTTCGTAGAGATGATTAGTCATTGCTAAAGCGATAGTTCCTACGTGAAATACATCGATAAATTCAAAAAGCCGCAATTTAAGAGCTAGGGAATCGTCCCTTCGAGGGGTTTTTATTGTACGAAAGGTCAATTCTTGCACTTCGTTGCACCTCATTGTACTTGAAATTAGGCCCGAAAACCATTGAATGTCTCCGACGCGTCTCGGTGCTATTGTACTTGGAAATATACATTGGAGAGTCGATTGGATCCGTGCAGGTGTGATACTATATTCGGGTTTTCGGCTCAAAATGCGCGCCCGCAGAGAACATGGGGTAGTATGTCACAGGAGAGACTTGTAAGATTAATTCAAAACAAGAGTGCAACCCTCGAGGCCAGTAAGGTATTGACACGTAATTTCAATGCGCCTGGTAACGATATTGCCTGGGAACTGAATATGTCTCAGGTGCTGGCGACGACCAGCGCGCGAGCAATGCACAGGGTGACCGAAAAAGGGAAACTTTACTCCACATTTCAGACAGCATTAATCATAATACTTTGCTAAAGTCGAATCGACTGCCTTCAGCTAATTATTAAAGAGCACATTCCAATCTATCTGAAACATTACACGACACCGACGACATCAGAAGATTTTCCCACGGAAACATTGGTTCACGGTACGAGCTCAACGAGGTCGTCGAGGATACCATAGACCATTACGACGTCTCTGAAACGCTGGTCAAAAGCGGTTTTGCATAGTCACAGCTAATGTCTCTGGGAAGCTATTCAACAGTTAATCCATTGAAGAAATTATGTAGCAGCTTCAGGCCGGAGCGATTACGGTAAGCCTCGTTGAGCTCGACGGTGGCGGCAGATGACGTCATATTCTGAAGACGGCGGGGGCAGTGAAGGAGCCTGCTTCTGTTTACGGGGGAACACCTAAGGAATATTCGCCGTAAAACGTTCATTAACATCGGCTCCCTGTGCGACGAAAAGTTCGATGATGTGCGCCATGGGCAAAGTGTCTCTTTTTTTGGCCACCCCTGTATATAGATTCAATATTTCACCATGTCTTCTCATACAAGGCCACAGCACCACCTCCCCCCTCCCCAACAAGCAGTCAAATCCGATCAGTCCTATTGCAAAAAAAAATTACCCAGTGGATTTGAAGTTGTCATATGCGTGCAATTGTTGTAGTAACAATGAAGAGCGAAAATCTAAACCGGAAGGGGAATACAAAGTCAAGGAAGGAAAAGGATTTTCAAGTCATCTCGCACTGAGAGAAAATTTAGTATTCAAAAGAAGAAATATCCTGAAATTGGAAAACTAAATAAAAGTAGACAAGTATCGATTCCAGCCTTGGAATATCTAGTGTTTCGCGAAGAACAAACATATTGCCTAAGATTGGTTGAGGTTACGGTCTCTAACTAGCAAAGTCTCTTTTCTGCGGAAGGACTCCATTTCAAAATAAAATAAGAATTTGAACGTTGAACTGACCAAGTGACAGACCAGGACCACCCGAGTATCCTCTGAGTTGAGCGCGAGCTTCTGCCAATTCGTCCGACTGACGCCCAAGCTTCTCATTCAGCGACTGCAAATTGTGACAGAATAAGGGCTTATTGAAACACCACTCCCAATCGAGAACTTAGAATTCAAACATCTTGTCATTTCAGCGAGATATTTGAAAAATTGAAGGCAATCGGGTGAGGGAAAGGAAAATGAGTAATTTATTCCAGGAGCCATTACTTACCATATTCTCGGAAGCCAGCTGATGAAGACGTCCGTGCACATCGCGAAGAGAGTCTTCAACCGAACCTTCCGATGGCCTCTGAAAGGAAGTCATAAAACGGTAATGTGGCCTGGAGAAAGGAAGCCAAATTAGAAAATTCAAATTGTGATTTTTTCAAATAGCGAGTCCTTTTGAAATCCCTGAGCAAACCTTGCTAGTCTCGCTGCTATGCGGTTCGTCGTCTTCAAAGTCACCGTACGTCATACAGTAGTAATCAGGTGGATGGCTCATAATCGTATCCACCATATTAAGGGATGAAAGCCGGGAAATAATCAGCAGACTGCCGCTTTTCAGAGCCGTAGGACACGTTTAGCGATCACTAAACGACGCATAGCAGATCCACGCGTTGTCATAACACAACACGACACGCACACAGCAAAAGCGACGGACGGCGAAAGCCGAACAAAAGGCGACAATAGGGCGGCGATCCCACGGGATGGTAACGGACGCTGGGCAAAGTGGGTGCTTTGTCATGCGCAGGGCTAAAAGCCGGCTGAGTGACAGCGTTTTTTGGACAGAATCCTCATGCCAAATGGAGTGCATCAAAAACGCGCTGTTCTATTCGAAAGGCAGACAACGCAATGTTCCATCCAGAGCACAAAAAACTCGGATCGCCCCTTTGACAGAGAGGGAGTGAGTGGCAATCTGAACAAGGATTGGCCCCGAATCAACACGAATAAGGCCCCAGGTGAAAGTGACCCATACCTTGCAACCCAAACAAAGGTTATGATCTGGTGAAAGGCTAAAACAGCTAATCATTCAATCGTCTCAGCCCGTTTTCCTAGAGTCCCAGATCGCACGGTAGTGTCGGGGAAAGGCCTGTCAGCGTCGGAATGAAACGCTGGAAAGGAAAGAGATCGATATAGCAGACTATGAAAACAGCTAGTTCAGTAGCGAAATTAACAATAGGTGAATATAAGTACACAATAGAGTACGGTCATAGAAACCCCAATCAAAATATCACGAGGGGCAAAGCTCTCAGTGCGATATGCAGATTTGGCGCTGCCACTTAAACAAGCAAATTTCATCGTGGGAGATCGGCAACAAGTGTTTACGATCCGACAATCTCCCCCGCCAAGGGATCAAAATCCACTTACTATGAGGTCTGTCAGGAGCAGACAGAGGAAAATGCATCAACAGATTCCAAGGAAGCCAGCAAAATTACGGCAAGGAAAAGGGCGTCAAGAAGAGGAAGAACATTCGTTCGGACGTGTAGTTTTCATCCAACGGGCATTTGAGATATGCATATGCGAATAGTAATTAGGTCAGATCTACGCGAATGTATGAAATGGCGGTAGAAAGCAGCCGAATCCACCACTTTCTACCCCTTACATTAGACGCGGACACTAGAGAAACTTCGTATGGGCAAAAACTGCATTGCAGGAAGCTGACAGCAAATGTGCAAGCTTGGTGGAGAGGAAACACCTGCCTAAAGTGGCCACGAGTAGCGTAACAGGTACGAAGCCGCTTATGAGTAGCAGGAAATCGATAGATGCGAGGTGCACACCTCACGGAAATATAAACGAAGTGGAGCAATGACCGAATATTGGTGCAAGAGATCTACGAGCTGTGGAGAAGGCTGCGAAGAAGGGGTAAGAAGCAGGTAATAATGGCAAAGTAGTCAGAACTTCTAGGAATTCCGAACAGAAAGAAGCGGAAAATGCAGTGCCGTTGACCTTGCGCTGTGAATTCAGTCTCGATGTGTGAGCAATTATCGCGTGCGGGGGGTCCGAGTGCAGAGATTAGCCTATTTCCGTACGATCTGAGCCGAGTCCTAATCAATGAAAAATCATAAAATGCTGCAATAGCGTATAGAACGATTCGGATGTGGGACAGTCCAGCGGCGAACCGTATAGGCTGGCTTGAGTTGGCCATACTATTGAATCAGCTGCGCTCTCTTCACGTATTGAAATCGAATGTTGGTCGCCGAAGAGACGATTATGAGTTGAATGCGGTCACATTTGACCATGCCGAGATATGAGAGCGCAGCTGAACATGGAGATCTAAGCGTAGCATAGGAGGAGGCATTTAGCCATAGAAGGCCATAGGGGATAGAAAGGCGCAAATGTTGTCTGAAAGGGCAATGAAGAGGGGCTTGCTATAAATACATCCCCTAATAGCCTGGCCAAGCTTCCAACTTGGAGTAGGCTCTCCCCTAGCGCCTTCCCTGTAATGAACACACGTCAGCCATACCACCAAGGCTTATGTCGGGAAATTCCAAAGTGAAGATATTCATGAGTTTTCCAGGGGAACGAGACCCAGAGCCACCCACAAGTGCCCTGCCAAGACGAATGGAAATTGGATTTAGAAAAAGTTGATTAGAAGCGTATGGAGGTTGATTGCCTTGACAGCCTCATGACAAAGGAGCACAGATGGATGACCATCGCGATGTGATGGCTGAACCAAAACAGAAGCTTTTATGAGACGAGCAAACAGAGGGGTTGCAAATGGAGAACGTCAAAAAGCGAGTTTCGATCGAAACCAATTTAAAATGCTTTGAATAGCAAATAAGCTAACGCCAAAGCGAAATGCGCTCTTTGCCATCCACTTAAAAAGGGCGCTGACCGTGGTGCGCTCACGTCGGACTACTTTTACAGAACGAGTTTTCCAGGAAAAAGAGCGTCAGATCGATTGCCGATGAGTCATGAGGCCGACTCGGACCTGTAAGCCTCTTTACGGGTGTCATGAGGAGCAACGTGAATAAACGCACTTCTGAGGTTATTTCAAGAGCCTCACGCCTCTCAACATCGGCGCCACCGTTTTGGTTTGGGTGGCCTTCATCCTGTTAGTTCATTCAACCAATATGGTGAATAATAACTTTTTCAAAGACTGTGCCTCAAAAACGGCCCAATATTCTGAAATGACTATCACGCTTATTTTGCCTTTTGTGGGACTTTTGCAAGTGACGGTTTGGGCCACACCTATAGCTGGAAAGTTGCTGCCCTCAGACAAAAGCACTGGGAGAAAAGATGGAAAATTCTGTTCATAAAGAAAGAACTCCAAGCAAACTACAAAAAGATGCTGACGCTGCAACTCAAAAATAGACTCTGATTGTGAATTTGAATTTGGCAACTGCTCTCAAAATAAGAGACACCAACGTAGCGCGAAGGTGGTACACTCATCGCCCGAACGCTGAGAATTACTCACAAACCAGAAACTGGTGGATATTCTTCCCATCACCCGGGTGACATTGCGAACACTAATTTGTCGCCGCCACCAAATCTAAAGGGGCGTTGTCAACAAGGACATCATTTTGAAACATAGCCCACACAATCCAAAGCGCCCATCGACAGGAAAGTCCAGCATGTTAGAGGGTTCCTAGCACTGCGAAGGCAGTCTTGGGCTCATAGCTGGGCTACCACCCAGGTGTACCCGAACAAGGCATCGTAATTAACGGGACAGCTCTTATATTCACTACGTTCATCGAACAGCCATTTGAATGCCAGAAAAAATCAGGGCCACAGCCCAGTTTTGCGTCACCCTCTTATATACGACCTTTTTTATGACTAAAAAATTCCAGATAACTTCAATTTCGAGTCCAGAGATAAAGTGGCACACCAGCGATCTGCCCGTGTGTTGCAACGATGGCGCGTCCTCGGAGAGATTCTCCTACACAAACGCTACGGTACAACTGCGTACCGGTTCCCTGCAGCGTACCAGTTCCCACCTCGCAGGTAAGACGCGCACACGTGTGAGTAAGAATTCAGTAACCAAAGTGGCGGCGATGGACGACTTCATAAAAGATAGCCTGAATATGAGAAAATAGCAGCTGTACAGCAACTATGAGCAATGAATGGCAGATATCAATAGGGCTGTTACACATACCGACAAAGCGGATATACTGTCCTTTACCAGATCACCGAACCAGACGTTCTCCAGTCGTAAATGGATGGATTTTTGGCATGCAGTGTAAGACAGGTGAGATGGTGATGGTGTGGGAAAAGGGTAACAACAAAACCAGGCTGTCAACCACAGGAACAAAATCATGGAGG